AGAAAGTCCCCAGTAGCCCGCATGCTCAAAGATGCAAGGGTTCGGGGCAAAAGTAGAATATTGGGGACTAGCTATGGTTATGGGAGATACTAGTTAAGCCCTGTGAACCATGGTTGCCTTGTTCTGGTTAACGAAAGGCCATTCTAACCTGGCGGGGAGTTGTACATTCCCCGGAACCTGGGAGTCAATCTTGGAATGCGGCCTATTCTCCTGCAAGGACTGAATTTTATCAGGGAAAGATGAACAACCTTGTTGCCCAAACAATGGAGTCCAGCTCCAGACTCCTGCTTCCCCGTGTAAAACCCTACTTTCCCATGTAATCCTTGTCCGACCCTATATAAGCAGATGGCTTATTGGGGCTGCAGAGCAGGTTTCTGTGAGTGACCTGCTGCTCCCCCACATTGCCAGCAGGATTGGAATAAACGCTCACCTAGGATTCAACCCGGTCTCTGCTGAATTGGCCCAAGTAGTGACAGGCAGCCCAGACTCATTGTTTGTCAGTTTGATAAGTCTACCATATTGATTTTTTTAAAAAAAAATTTCACAGGTCTTAAGAATATGGTTGGATAACTTTAGACCAATGAATACACCCAAGTAAACAACACCTTTAAAAAAAGAGAGAGAGAGATGTAGAACGTTGCTAACAATCTAGAAAAACCCCTCATGTTCCCTTCTAGCTTACCCTCCTCCCACAGGCAAACACTCCTCGGATTTCTCTCTCTACAGATGAGTTTCTGCTGTTCTTGAATTTCACATAAATGGAACCGTTCATTATGTTCTCTTTGGTGGCTGGCTGGCTCCTTTTGCCCAACTTAATGGTTTTCAGATTTATGCAAGGGATGCCAAATATCCATAGTAGTTCGTTTTTAACTGCTGAATAATATGAACTCACTGCAAGGTGTCTATCCACTATTAGCGCAGAAGCTGATTGGCGGGCACAATACACAAAACGTCGCAATGCCTGCTCCAAACTTACAATCCATACTACTGATTATACACAGCTAAATCTGACTTTTAATCCTTCAGTCCTCAAAGGGAGGAAGAAGAGAGCATGGGGAAACAGGGACCATTTGGAAGTTCAAGTTCAAGGAGAAAGTACAGGGAGTAAGACACAGGATGTGCTAGGGGAGATGTCTCACCATGAACCAAGATTGCCCTTGGTCCCGGCTCAGGTCAAGGACTGTGAAAAGACGGAAGTAAACTCCTCGCTCAGTGTTATATTCTTCCTCTCTCTCTCCTACCTCCTTTGGCCACTGGTTAAAAATCCTTTGTCATTGTAGACAATCAAAAGGCTTTTTGTAATTCAAGCAGATATTGCTTGCTTGGGTGTTCTGCGAGATGCCTCTGGTTTAGTTTGTAAGTATGGCAATGAAGTCTGGGATGGACGAAGAATATTTTGGGTCCCCATGCCTGGACCATGTGATGCACACATCAAAAAGGCAGGAAGACAGGGTGGGGGAAACGATGCAATTTATTATGATTTTTCGTCACTGAGATCTTAAGGTGTCCACAGGCTAAGAATAAAACATCCTATAAAGGTTTCCTTGGTTATTTGTGGTGCCTGCCTCAAGATGTTTAAGACTTACTTAGAGAAAAATATAGACCTATCTCCTGTGATCTGATTAGTTGGGAGACAAATGAGATCAATCTAATTTGAGCTCATCGGTCAGGTGTCCTCAGCAAACAACATTCCAGCTGAGTGTGGAGCAAACAAGATTTAAAAAAAGAATAACTCAACCTTACACAGAGATGATAGAAACTCATTACTGCAAATGCTGTGGGTAAACAACGTTTCCTGGCTAGGATTAATTTTTGAGCCAGGGACTCTTTAGAAAATCAAAGAGTCAGAACAGGTTTATGTTGTCACTCGAGTATTATCCCTGGCTTCTTCGTAGCAATGGAATAGCTAATATTTAGATCTACTTAAACGTCAAGTCTTCATAGGACTTCTCCCAAAAAGTCCACATCTTTCTAAAGTCACTATTTCAGGGCAGTAGCTCCCGAACAGAGCTGCACTTGTAGTCGCCTAGAAAACACGAGGGGTCCCAGTGATGTACCGAGTGGATGGGCAAAGAGTCCAAATCATCCAAAGCGCAGTCTAGGCCGGAAATATCACCGGAGTACTGCCTTGGCCACATCCTTAGCATCAGCCATTTCCCCGGCAAAAATTAATCCTCTCTGAAAAAAAGCACAGCTCAAATCTTCACATGACTTTTTACACTGGGGAATGGAAGAGGAAATAGAGATGCTATAAATCACAACTAAAGTGTTGATATTACTAAAATAGAATCCAGTACCTAATGAACATGACTGCAAAATTTCCATTACTTAAAAAAAAAAAAAAAAAAAAAATTGCATTCTAGTAATACTGGATCCACCTTTATTAAAGAAACGTTTCTACTTATAATGAAACTAGGAAACAAGAAGATTCTTATTTGCATGTCTATGAGGTTGTGATTGAGCTCAATGCCGGTAGGGAAGAAAGTATTTTTTGCCATCGTTTTGTAATTCTGCTAAATATGATTGAGCCAATGGTATATTTTTACAAGAATATGCCAAGTGTTGCTCGGATTGTCTGATTGGCTCCTCCTGAAAACCTCGACAGGATTGAGTCAAGACTTGGAGGCTGTTTATTTTAGTATAAACATATAGTTACTGAGGTTCAGTTAGTTTGTTTATTGTTTTCTCCACCCTCAGTTTTCAGGATATACTGAAGTAAAATCAGATATTCACGTTGGGATATAACCAAGGATTCCGTCATCAAAGCCACTGATTCTTTTTTTATATTTTTTTAATATATTTTATTGATTTTTTTTACAGAGAGGAAGAGCGAGGGATAGAGAGTTAGAAACATCGATGAGAGAGAATCATCAATCAGCTGCCTCTTGCACACCCCCCACTGGGGATGTGCCCGAAACCAAGGCACATGCTCTTGACTGGAATCGAACCTGAGACCTTTCAGTCCACAGGCCGACGCTCTATTCACTGAGCCAAACTAGTTTCGGCACAACCACTGATTCTTGACCAGGGGTCTGCCACACGTGTGCCCAGGGAACCCCAGTCCACGGCTGTCACGCTTTCTTGGAATGAGATGCACTATCCCTGTCTCCAGAAGCAAATACCTCTTATCACTGACTACGAGCTCACTGGTGGCAGGTGAAGCTGTCCTCTCTGTCCCCAAGTTCCCTATTCCCCCCGGGGCCAGGTGCCCAACTCATCTCCCCCAGGTCACCGGAGGGAGGCAGCTCGGTGCTCAGGAAGACAGGTCCCCAGTGGGATCACTCTATCTCCCCCAGAAACAGAGCGGGCTTGCTTTCCCTTTGCACTGGGCTCCGTCCTGAGAGCCCTAGGAAGTGAGTGTACCATGAACTCATTCCTTCCGCCTGGGCAGACAGATGGACAGACCCTCCCGCCCGTTACCAGTCTTTTGTCTTTGGAGCATTTTTGGCATTTCCTTCAGGAAACTGGAGGCTGTGACCCAAGGCTTCCTTCGTGAGCACACTCCTGTTTCCCACAGTGAACCTTACCCAGAAATGACATCTATGCGACGAGGGGAGGTTTATCTCCACGTCCCAACTGTGTCCTGTGCTTGCTCAATGCTGCCTGAAAGCACACGCTCTGAAAGAAACAATAGCGTGAGGGGCCAGACACACCCCCCCTCCCATTGCATCCCCAGCCAAACCGAGCACTAACCAGGGCAAGGATTCTGTTTTGCTTGTAAAGGACCCTTGCTCTCATTTGATCGCTGGAGAAATTAATAACCGGGGACATTAAAGCTTTCAAAAACGATGAACTGAAAGTCTTCAGACAGAAGGCGTCCGAAACTCAGCCTACCACTCGCTCCTTCAATGATACCCAGGTCCCATACTGTTCAGAGGTTAGATGGGGAGAAGCCAAGACAGAAACCGATCCTGAAAATGTACGTGATTTGATATGATCACCCATATTCATATCCCCACTTCCCCAGCGTGTTGGCAGGAAGCCAAGCTTTTGTGGATGGGTTTGAACTGACCATTGAGTTTCATGATTTGAGTTTAGATTTACAACCACACGGCTCTATGTTACTTCTTTTAAAGCCCATGTTTTGGGAAAGAACTATTGGACTCAGTTTAGTTTGGCATGGATGCAATTTACAACTCAAACAATGCCATTTCCTTGCCATGTGGTATGCATTTAGGAGCTGGCTGGTTTTTTTTTCATTTCATTCTTTACTGCTCTTTGGTGGTAACATATTGAAGTTTCTCTTCCTGAAAAAGATAGAGCGGTTTCTAAAACAATAACAGACATTATTGTTTCTAAAGAGCCACAGAGTCAATAGAAAGTCTTCGATTATTTTTAAAATGCTCTTCACAAAGGAATCTTTAAAAAAAAATCAGTTTATTAATGTTTAAAAGTTGATAAAGCTATGTGCAAAATGATCCACAAAAGTCAGAAAACTATTAAATACTATTTTTTTAAAAAAAAAAAAGACATTTCTCGGTTTAATTGCACTGAAAAACCATACTAAAGAGACAGCAATACATTTTATTCTTTGTAACATTTACACACATGCCCAATGAACTAGTTTAAAAAAACAACAACAGCTGAACTGGAAACTTCTGGGTTCCTTACCAGTTAAAGTAATGCTTTAAGGACACAAGAGGGTGATACTTTCTTAAGAAAATACACATTCAATGGTGTTAACACGGGTTAGGAAAATCCAATAAAATGCTGAAACCCATACATTCAAAAATCATGAAGAGGACTTTTAAACACAACAAGATGCAACCGCTGGCTGAAATGCTTCACACACGCTCCGTAATGAACAGCAACAAAAGTGCCAAAGACCGATGTCGTGTTTGTTAGGCAGATTCGTTAGGAAATCCCTCCTGGTTGACAGACTTCCCTCCCCAGCAGTAGGTGCTCTCCTTGTGTGGGGGGGCCTTTGTCTCTCCTGGACGTGAAGGAGCCTGGCTGATACCGTTAGATAAGCTGGGCTTCCCCATGCAGATTTAGGCACAATGGCAGGATATGGTCACACATTCCATTGTAAAGATGTAAAAAAAAAAAAAAAAAAAAAAAAAAATCAAAGTGACTACAACCAAATTCCAAAAACAACGGATCCAGCTTGCGTGGAAACTTTGGCCTCAGCAAAAGAAACTGCCTCCCATGTCCGAACCGTCTCCAGCTCCTCCGTCTGCTTCCTGGACAAGGCCACCAGCTACAGATGCTGGAGAAATGGACCGGGCCACCCCAGCGCTGATGCAGGCCTGGCCGTTAGATACCCAGTGGAGGATGTTGAGGAGGAGGGGTGTGCCAGGCAAGGAGGGGTGGGGCCTGGAGCATCCCTAGAGAGAAGCAGAAGTGCGCACGCACGTGGCTGGAAACTCTAGTGAAGAAACATCTTCTCCTCAAAGCTGCAGGCGACACTTCCCCCGGGGGACCTGGATCTTCCAGGAGGGGCCGAACGGTGACCCCTCCGGGAGCTTGGCCACGCTCACCTCTGGCTCAGTGCACAATCAAAGCTCAGGGAGAGGAAGTAAGTAGGCTCCAGGCCCGCGGACCGCTCTCCACCCTTCCCGGCGCATTGTTCACAGGACTCACTGTACCCTCCGACCCCACCCTGCGTCACGGGCCCTTGGCTCACCCCGCCTCCCCCCTCCGGCTCCGGCTCCGGCTCCGGCTCCGGCAGCTCCTCCCTGGCAGCAGTCCAGAGGCACCAGGCACGGAGATGTTTTTTCCAAACACGGGGCGGCGGGCGGCCATGCCAAGAACACTCCCCATGGGGCTGGCAGCTTCCCACCTTTAGGAAGACGAATTGACGTTGCCAGAGGACATGATGGTCTCGGGGTTGTCCCCATCGTCCTTCTGGGGGTGAGAGGAGTTGTCGGACTTGCTGCGGCTGAACTCCACGCCCGCGATGATGGGGCGCTTGAACTTGCCCGGGGTGTCCGGGCTCGGGCACCGGCAGCAGGACATGATGCGGATGAAGGCGCGGCGCATCTCCTTGTTGGTGAGCGTGTAGATGATGGGGTTGGTGCCCGAGTTGAGCACCGCCAGCACCAGGAAGTACTCGGCCTTGAAGAGGATGTCGCAGGTGCGCACCTTGCAGCCCACGTCCAGCAGCAGCAGGATGAAGAGCGGCGCCCAGCAGGCGATGAACACGCTCAGCACGATGATCACCGTCTTGAGCAGCGCCAGCGACTTCTCGGAGCTGCGGCTGGCCTTGGACGCGTTCTTGCGGAAGGTGAGGCGGCGGCTGCGTGTGCGCACCAGCGAGTAGATGCGGCAGTAGAGGATGACGATGGACAGCAGCAGCACGGTGAAGACCGTGGTGCAGAAGAGGATATAGTGCTTGTGGTAGAGCGGCAGCACCGTGGAGCAGCTGGACAGGTGGCGGAGGCAGTTCCAGCCCATGATGGGCAGGCCGCCCAGCACCAGCGAGATGACCCAGCAGGCGCTGATGAGCAGGAAGGAGCGCGAGCTGCTGCTCTCGTGGTGCAGCTTCATCTTCAGCATGGTGATGTAGCGCTCGATGGCGATGGCCAGCAGGCTGAAGACGGAGGCGGACAGTGCCACAAACATGCTGCCCTCGCGCAGGAACCACTGCGCCGGCGTCAGCTTGTAGGTGTTGGCCCCGGAGAAGAGCAGGTTCATGATGTAGGCCACCCCGGCCAGCAGGTCCGAGAGGGCCAGGTTGCCGATGAAGTAGTACATGGGCCGGTGGAACTTCTTGGTTTTCCAGATGGTCAGGAGGACGAAGATGTTCTCCAGGATGATGCAACAGCAGATGAGGATGAACACGGCGGACGTCACCTTGAGGCCGCTGTCCTTGTCCTGGCCCAGGTTCAGCTTCCCCGTGTAGTTGTAATGCCGGATGATGAAGTCGTAGTTGGAGTAGTCAGACAGCGGGGGGCTGCTACTGCTGCTGCTGGTGGACCCCATGGCGCGCCCGGCGTCCGTGGCCTTGGCCCTGGCCGGCGGCGATCCCCCGGCGGGCGCTAGAGGGCGCTGGAGGGCGAGGCGCAGGCGGGGGAGCGTGGAAGTCAGAGGTCCTGGCTCTCCGCGTCTCTCCCGGCTGGACGGGGCCTCGGGAACCGCAGCCTTAAAACGAGTTACAAAGACAGTCAGGGGAAGCCACAGGCACGACTCCTTCTCGCCGAGGCCCTGCTCGTTTTGTTTGTTTATTTATTTAAAGGAAACTTGGGGGCAGTGCAGAGAGAGGGATTTAAAAAAATCAAACTCTCGCCCCTTGCAAAAAATAAATATTTTAAAAGGAAGAAGGGGAAGAAAGAGAGGGAGAGAGAACAACTCCAAAAAAAAAAAAAAAAAAATGGCCCCAACTGAAAACTCCGACTCAACAAGATGAAAACGCTTCCCGTGGTCACATTCACTCCAACGGAAAAGGGAAAGTGGGGAAGCAACTCACCCCAGCTCTGATTCTCACCCTGCATGCCACCCTGACTCACACCCTGCACCGCGCACCCCGCACCCCGCTAGGCTTCCAGGCTTCCAGGCTGTGCCTAGAACAGTCACCGCCCAGCGGGGGCTCACAAGCTCCGGGGCTCCCCAGAAACCCAACCGAGGGTGAAAATGCACACCTCTGCCCCCACCGCCCACCCCACCTGTCAGCAGAGCCGCCCCGGAGTCATGGGACAGTGCAAGTCATTTGGGGGCTCCATTAGTAACCTCGGGAGCAGAGCAGGTGTGTCCAGGGTCCGAGGGGCAGCCGCGCCTGCCCTGGCCCAGCATAAACAGGAAAACTGGCGCCTGCCCTTTCTTTCCTCTTCTTCTTCCCCGGAGCCCAAAGCAAGAACCCCCCTCGGTGCCGGTGAGACCGCAATCAGCCCCAGAGGTTGCGCGTGGCCCTCGGTTGCAGGAGTGTGGTTAGCTCGGTGGCCAGAGCCCACAGGCAGAGAGAAGTCCCGCTCCTGGGAGCCAGGCATGCCGCCCCAGCCCGGCCCGTGCAAACCTCTGCAGCCGCTCCCCCAGGGGCGCCGGGCTCCGGGCGAAGCTACCGGGCGGCTTTACTGACCCCCTCCCCGGCTCCCGGCCGCCTCCCTCCTCAGAGGTCTGCAAAGTGTGGAGGGGACGCGGCATGGCCCCGGCTGGCAGAAGTCTACTTGTCAGTTAAGAGCTGCGAGGGAACGGGACACCCGGATAAAAGTAGAGGAACCCGGCCGCAGTGCAAGTTTAAGCCCTAACTCCACCCCCACCCCCTCCATACCCTTTGTTTCTAGCATTCCCAAACATAAGCGCCTGCGCCCCTGCCCCTGCCACCCCCGGCAGCGTCGCCCCCTCCCCCCGGGCTGGCTCTGCAGCGGGAACGTGACCCCCTTTCCCGGCGTCATCCATCACCAGCGCCCGCGCCGCCGGCGGGCTGGGCTCCTCGGCCCGGAGACGGGGAGTTTGGAAAGTTTTTGTTCTGCTCCGTTCGGGTCTGACAGCGCGTCCCGGCCGCCCGCCCGCGCCCCGCGGCCCGCGCCCCCCGGCCCGCGCCCCCCGGCCCGCGCCTACCTGGCTCAGGCGGGACTCAGGCGGGACTCAGGCGGGACGCGGCGGGGAGCTCCGGGGCCGCGCCGCGCACCCGTCATCTCGCTGCTGCTGCCGGAGCCTGACAGCGCCGCGGAAGAAACTTGCGGAGCCGGGGTCCCCTCCCTCCGCAGCCGCATTCTCCATTGGCCGGCCCCGCGCCGCCAGCGCCGGCTGAAGTCACCCCGCGCCTCCGAGGAAGGGGCGGGGGCAGCGGCCCGGTCTCCCACGCCCTCCCGGCGGCCGGCCCCGGCGCGGATCTCGGCGGGCGGGCGGCGGAGACTCACTGTCCAGGAACGATCTGGGGCAGAAGCTAAGAGGGCCCCTCCCACCCCGCCCCCGGACGCCAGGAAAAAACGAGGGGCGGAGCCTGGTGCCCCCTGGACTCGGTATAAATCGCCCGCCCCCTCCCGGCGGCAGAGACCCCCTCCCCGAGCTGGCGGCGGAGGGCCTTCGGAGACAGGGGGCCGCAGGCGCCCCGCAGCCACCTCCCTGGACTCCTGCCAGCCAGCCCGTGGGGATGGGGTCCGAGCTTGTGGCCAGGCGCCCCGGGCTGCGGCGGGGGCGGGGGAAGCAGGAGCCAGCGCTCCGGGGAGAGGCCTGCTGGGGAGCGAGGGGCCAGGGAGGGGGGTGCCGGACGGTCCTCCCCTTCTCCCCACCTCCACGCCGCCCACCCCGGCCCGCGGCCTCGAAACTTGTGGTCTGAGGGGCAGAAAGTGGCTTTCCCGAGGCGCAGGGTGAAGTGGAGGTGCTGTTCGTGTGTGTGTGTGTGGGGGGGGGGGTGTCCCCCGCCCTCAGCTGGGCGGCCAGGCAGGCAGTGTGCCCCAGATTCTGGCCAGCAGCGAGAGGCCCGCTGAGTTGACTAACGCTTGGGCAGCTCAGGAAGTTCCAAGGGGAAGAGCCGCCTGGCCTGGCCCGGCCCTAACCCCGCAGGGCCCCTGGCCGCCCAGCTGGGGGCGGGCTCCCTTCTTTCCCCTTCTACTTGGGAGGCGCCCCCAAACCTCAATGCTCACAACTCCGCCCCCTCTTTCCTTGCTCTTAGCTGCTACTTCCGAACCTGAGACTGAGAGGTGGCCTGGGTCCGCTCAGCTGTGCGACCGGCGGCGCGGGGGCAAAGCCAGTCCCACCCAGCGCCGCCGGGTCACACCGCTTCCCATCCCTGCAGATGCGAATGCAAAAGGTCTCCGCGGTGCAGTTTCAATCAGACACGCCCTGTACCTGAATGACTCAGAAGGAGGCTTCTTGGTGAATAAACAACAGACCCCTGGCTGTTGGGATCTTATGAGTTTGCAAAAGAAGCCAAGTGTCGGTTAATTCACAGCTGTCTGAAAGCCCTCCTCCGCCATGCGCCGCCTACCCACGAGTGCGCACAACGTGGAACCAGAGCAGCGACTCTCAGATGCCTCTGATTGGGTTGAGGACTTATCCCGTCCTATCTAACAAAGGCTCAATAAGCAAACTGTTCCACCGGGAGTTCCACCGCTGGCTATGACATGCGCTGACCACCAGGGGGCGGCGCGGAATATGGTGGGTGCTGGCAGTGGGTGGCAGTGGAGACGCTACCAGCCCAATGAGCTCTGTGGTGGGATGGTGGAGCAGGTGAGCGGATGGTGCAGGGCAAGGTGGGTGTGAGGGGCAGGTGCTGATCACCCCACGGATAGCCCCTTAGACAGCAACCATTGCCCAGCGATGGAGGCAACGGCTGCCTGACTCCCAGGCATTGAGGAACTGGGTGGGGGGCCCAGCCCCCATCCATCGCCCTGCAGATGGGATGATGGAGCAGGTGAAGGGGTGGCGCCAGGCCATGGCTGGGTGCCAGGTGGGGCTGTGGGGTTGGGGGCATGAGCTGGGGCTGTGAGCCTGCGGGTGCCAGCTGAGGCCCCATCCCTGCAGGCCACCCCAAGGGATCCTACCCATGCACGAATTTGTGCACCGGGTCTCTAGTTTCATAAGAAAGGGGAGATCAGTTGAGTCAACCCAGCACAACTTAACGTGGGGACTTGTCAAACTCCACCCCGCCCACACATGGATGAGTTCTTCAAAGGGGAGGGTTTAAGTGCATTGCACGTCCAGCCTCGATGATCTGATTTAACGCTGTGCTCTGGGAGGCGTGCAGTGTTGGTCATTGAAGCGAGGGAAGTGTCATTCCGACAGCCTACAGCTCAGCTGGTGAGAGGCAGAGCTGGGCTCCCAGACCTGAATGCTGCCCAAGCCAGGGCTGCCAGGTGGCACGCCTCCCGCCAACAGACAGGGAAGGAACTGCGAGGGGAGCACCTCCTGCCTCAGTTTACCGTACACCGATGTCCGGACTGTGGACGTCCGCAAAATGTACAACAAGATATGCCAGGGAAGACCTGCGAACCCCTGTTCCCCACTCTGCAGTCTAGAAATCTCTCATGTAAAACCTGCAACAAAACTAGACTCATGAATGTCCTTTTTTCACCAGGAATCATTTTCTTTTGGATGAAATGCTTTACAAAATGTTATTTTTATTTTTTTACCACGTTTTTTTTTTTATTACTAAGACTTCATTTTGTTTTAAGAGTTTCAGATTCACAGAAAAATTGAGTGGAGGGTACAGAGATCCCCCATAGACCCTCTCCCCTCACCACACACAACTCCCCCCACGGTGAGCATCACTCACTAGAGACCTGGCACATCGGTCCGACATCGCTACATCATCACCAGCCAAGTGCATGGCTCACCTCAGGGTTTCCTCTGGAGGGTGCTGTTCTTGTGCTAATTTTACAAACCAGGAAACTGAGTCCAGGCATCGTAAGCAGCTTGGTTAGTGTGGGCTGTGACCCACCATAGCTGGAGCTATAGGTCCTTAACCACAACGTGCAACCTCACACCCGCGGGAGTATGACGGCTTGGAATCTGTCTTTTCCTGTGAGATCCGCTGGAGAGGACCAGGTTACTGATACTGACCCCCTCCCCACCCCCGTTTCAACCTCGCACGTGATTACTTAATGATGCTCGCCCTTAATACACACTGACGGGATGGAAAACACAGATGACCACCAGGCAGGAGGAGGGGGGAAGCAGGGCTATTTGCCAATTCCCCGGCTCCGGTTCCCACACATGCCTCTTCCCAGGACTCTCAGGAGAGGCTCTAAGAATCCCATCCCCAACCATCTCCTGGCGGCTCGCCCAGCTCCCCTTCCACCTGGAAGCCACGCCCAGTATTCCTACCTGACTCCCCATGGCACCTCCATGACAGCTGGATGGCCCAGTCCCGCTGGGGTCTCCCCACTCCAAATCTCGGATTTCAAAGCAGCGTTCTCTATGCATGTTTCCGTGTCTCTCTGCGAGGCTCGCCAGAGAAAATCCATGCTCCGTTTGGGACAAATGCTAAAAAAAAAAAAAAAAAAAAAAAAAAGCAATGACTTGTTTATTTATATTTAACTAGA